TATTTTTTTTTTTTGTAAAACACTGTAACTAATTGATATATTCTCTTTAAAGCACTTGAAGGAATTTAATTTTGAGTATAAAGCACTTAAAGAAATGTGTGTGTGTGTGTATATATAAATATATGCATATGTGTGTGTGTGTGTGTGTGTGTGTGTGTGAGTGTATATATGTATATATATGTATATAAATATATATATATATATACATATATATACACACACACACACACACACATATATATATATATGTGTGTGTGTGAGTGTGTAATGTGCAAAGCACTGGTATAAATGGATATACTGTGAGCAGTGCTAGGATTTGGTAAATTGCAAACGAATGAGGAGTTGGCATGTCATCAGTAAAGCACACTAGTGTTAGACATATGATGTATTAAATGCTGCTTAGTTTTTGTGTATTCTTCTTCTTCTTCTTCTTCTTCTTCTTCTTCTCCTTCTTCCTCTTTTTCTTTGCCCACCAGCATTAAGCTCTAGGCGGAAAGTCTATATGAACTTTTTCTTTGTGCCAGGACCTGAGTTTTGGTGTTAATCTGTTTTACTGGCTTATTTGTATGTAGTTGGTTGTTCCCTGCCGCTCAGGCAGACGCACTCCGACTCCGAAGAAAGCCTGTGATGAGTCGACTCCTATGGCATGCTTGAAGGGGAGGCAGTGGGTCTGTTCTTGTTTTCCCACATAATGGGGCCGGGATCCACACGGGGAGTATTGTATGTAGAGTACTAAAGGCAGTTGGTTTATTGTGGTGTGACATGAACACAGTTTGGTTATAAAAGTGTGTCTCAGCACAACACATTTGGGGACCACTGACATTGAAATTACCTAGGCATATTCCCCCTTACCCCCCCCCCCCCCTATTTTCTCCAGGGTCCAGGTATGGTTGCCAGTCTTGAATGGCTGTCGCTAAAAACAGAGGCCTGCATCTGTCGATTAATTCTCTAGTGCAGCGGTTCTCTATTCGCTAAAACTTGTGCAGCCCTCTGATCTTTGACAGCCTGCTGGTAATGCCTCCAGAAAACACCACAAACTTTTTTTTTCCAAACTGCATTTTAAAGTTGAGAAATTTTTGTAAATTTTCTTCCTCGTGGCATTCACCAGCTGTAACTCTGGCTAAAAGTCCTAGGTGTTCATTCCCTTCTGGACTTTAGTAGTCTTCTTCTATAACTAGAGTTCTGCGTGCACATCTGTTTTACGGATCAGGGTTATTTGTATGCGACAGCTGGTTCCTCACATTTCAGGCAGATGCACCTGATTAGTCACATTTACAACATGTTTGTTGGGCAGCTGTGGATCTATACCACCCCCCACCCCACACTCTCTGTCTCTTTCTCTCTCTCTCTAAAAATGGGATCCTGGAACCCACATATGGATGTTTTTCAAGTGATAATGTAAGACTCAAATTTAAACAGTGAATGGGACAGAAGAAGTTATCCAGTATTTATATTGTCTAGAGTAACTCAGTAAGGATGAGGTGCCTGCTTGTGAAAAAGTTAATGAAGCCCCTAAATGTTTTTTTTTTTCAGTAGCATTTCAATTTTTTTTTTAAAATCATCATCTTAGTCCTATAACCTCGCATGTTATTAGGTCACCAGTTGCCTTTGAGATGTGGATCCCTTGGCTCCATTCTTCTTCTTTTTTCTCTATACTCCTGAAATGTCTCATAGAAGCAACAGGGCAGGAAGAGATTTCTGGAATGAACCCTTCTGTTCGCATCATATATGTTACTCAGTGTTCTGCGATTCTTCTGCTCTTTTACCGTTGCAGCTGTATTAGATTGCTCTCTGGGGTGCCCAGTTTGATGCCAGTCTTGTTATATGGCCAGGCAACTTGATCTGTTGTCTACCGAATAAAGTTCACTGTTGGTTCTGTGCTGACTCTCCTCCTGATGTCATCGTTGCTAAGTCGATCATTCCTTGTTACAACTAGCATAGAATGTAAACGTTGGGGGAGGAGGGATAACAGACTCACTGCTCCCTCCGACAAGCATGTCATAAAAGACTGCTATTTTTGGTGAGTTTGTTTGCAAACTGGAGTGCATCCACCAGAGGGGCAAGGAACCAGCAGTCTGCATATAAGCCAAATCTGTAAAACATATCGTCATCATCATCACGCGCCCTGCCACCTGGCGGTGGCACTCGTAGTGTTTTTTTATGAGTTTTCTTGGGTATATAATGTGATGGTTTCTCGTTGCCTTCCACATCACATGGAGTATTTTAAACTGCACCTTTGACAGTAATTTCCGACTGTCCGGACAAGTGGGTGCCCTTCTCTGCCCAGCTGCGGAGTGATCCACTTATTCAGGTGGATACTCAGTCCCCATATCTGCGTTATCCACACCATGGTGTGTTTCCCACCCTCCACCACTTGTAAAACATATGTACACACAAAACCCAAGTTCTTGAACAAGACCAAAGTCCAAAAGTGGACGAACCAGCACAGTTTTTCCCTGGAGTTTACAGCCGGTCAACATTAAGACGAAGAAGAAGCTGGTCAGTTTCCTCCATCTCTCAATAGTCTTGATGTTTGCATGCTTGAGGCTTGTTCCCTCAGCCAAACCATGTATCCAGGTCTTTCTTGGTCTACCTCTTTCTTCTCTTCACCTGTTGAGCTCTTGAGTATTGTTTTCCCCATAGGCAGTGTTTGTAGTATTGCTTTGGAGAGGTCAACAGGTCTTATATTTCCATACTGTTACATTTTCCTTCTTTTTACTGTTCTTGCAAGTGGTTAATAGTTTCCAGCCATCTTTAATTTGTGGGCACCCCCCCCCCCCCCCCAGCCCCCCCCCCCTCCAGTGCTACTGCTGGGCACCAATGCTTATATTTACAAGTTCTGTTTAATCTCTTGCCGTCCCAGCTTGTGTTTTGCCCCAGTAATGTCACAGGTCAGAGGGCAGTAGGGCATTTGGTGCATGGCGTGTCAAGGTTGAGGGGATCATAATACCAAAAACAGGCAGTCTGACACTGGCATCTTAGGCTGTCATACACACAAGCTGGCTGGGTCATGTAGCGTGGGAACTCCAGCACAGAGGTGTTATATGTGTACACAAGGTGCCCAATTAGTTTTTGTGTATAGGGAAAATAAAGATATCATGAACACGATTACAAGCATAACTCAAGCTGCGCCTATACAGTAATGTAAGTACAGGTCCTTTTTCCACCCATTTAGGCATATAGGGCTAGACCTATATTTTTATAGACCAATCAGCACAAGACGGGTGATGTGGTCAGCATCACGTTGGCCTCCTTTACTTCCCTGGGACTGCATCTGGTACCCACTCAAGGCTGGGTTGACCTGGGAGTCAAGGTCATTTAAAAAAAAGTCTAGCTCTGCCAGGGAGCGAACCCACAACCTTCCAATCCGCACGCGAGTGTCTAGCCGCTATGCCATGCGACTCCCTGCCCTTAAACAGGGTCTGATGTGAAATAAAAATTGAAAAGAATTCCTTTTTTCCTGTGTATGGAAATATTCGGGGTTACCCTGTAGTAGCTAAATTGGCAGAAGAGGTTTCTTGTTTATTTAGTTTCTGATGACATCACTCGTCTTAGTCTTCTTGTAGCGTTGGGAACTCCAGTAAAGGGGTGTTATGTGAGTGTGTAGGAGTGGAAGACAAGTGTTATGTGTGTGCATATGTTATGGCAAAAAGGTGTTATTTGGGTGTAGCAGGGCTTATTTCATAAAGAAGCTGTGCATGAGAGAGAGAGGGAGAGGAGAGAGAGGTGTTTATGTGTGTGCATGGGGATAGTGTGCATGGGGATAGTGTGCATGGGGATAGTGTGCATGGGGATAACAGAAAGGTGTTATGTGTGTGCATTGGGATAACAGAAAGGTGTTATGTGTGTGCATGGGGATAACAGAAAGGTGCATGCGGATGGCAGAAAAGTGTTATGTGTTTGTGTATGGGTTTTGCAAAAAGGTGTTATGTGTGTGTATGGGATGACCGAAAGGATATATCTGTATGGGATGATTGAAAGGATATATGTATGTGCATGGGCAAGCCACAAGAGAAAGGTATATTTAAAGAATGCTTATTACAACGTACATCACGAAACTCCTGTTTTAAACGTGGCATGTGTTCTTCCGTATGAGATCCAGAGCCCTCATTTTGGAGAAGAAACGAAGAGACCCACAGCGCCCTAATTAACCTGTCGTTAAAGGTGACAAGTTGGGGATTTGTGGATGTTGGATATATTTGGCCGAAAGGCGCAGGCCTTCACAGCCTAGATGTAAACCGCAGTAGTGCAAGCAGAAGAAGTAGAAACATTGAATGCCACTAAAACATGGCCTTCCTGCAGTCTGTGTACCACACAGGTGCTGCCTGGGAAGTGAAGGTTGGCGGCAGTAAATCTCCAACATTCTCTTGTTTCTTGCCGTGAATTATTTCATCTGTACTTCTTACCAGTAAAAGTATAATGTTACCCAATTTATAATTTCATTATACTTGTATGTTGATGTCATTTCTGTGATAATGCTTGTAATGAGATACAGCAAAGTATACCAGGACAATCAATTGTACAGTACACCATCTCTGCGGCTTATCACCTATGTGACTTGTGATCATCTTCACGCATGAAAACAATATGTAAATAAATAATAATAGTAAATAAAACATAGAAAAGATAACTTTATTGGTAAAGTCAAAAAGTTCCAGGAACTGATGCACAGAATGCATGTTGTGTATTTTTTACATGATGAACAAATAATTATTCCTACATTGATTACATTTTATATGTTTTATGTACACTTTGTTTAACCTGTTTTATGTACACTTTGTTTAACCTGTTTTATGTACACTTTGTTTAACCTGTTTTAATGAAAATACTGGCTAAAAATTACATTCAACTAAACGGCCAGTTTGACTTGTGACCTGATTGTGAATCTGGGAGACTGCAATGTTTTTGTCTTCATTATAATGGAAAACATTGTTTAGAATTTCTACTTTATGTGTTAGTTTTGAACCTGACTGAAGTCAGATGAATTTTTATGTCAACAGGGTTCAACAAAGTGGACAACCGACCCATTGAGGAGATAATCAGGGAAAAACTGTTGACCGTCCTAGAATCTGCCTACCCCAATGTTTTATCTGTTGAAGATTTAGTCAGGTGAGTGTTTAGTACATACTTCTTCTTTTCTCTACTCCTGGAATGCCTCGCGGTGTCAGGGCAGTGAGATATCTCAACCTTATATTCGTCACATCATCGGCCATCATGTCCTTCACAGAACATCACTCTCATCACGGCACACCTGAAAGTCTCTCTTTCTTTAGTCTGTTCTCCAACACTATGCGCTTTCATAGCCATTGCCTCTTCAGTGTCTTGTATCCACCTTCACAAAGGTCTGCCTCTTCAGTGTCTTGTATCCACATTCACAAAGGTCTGCCTCTTCAGTGTCTTGTATCCACCTTCGCAAAGGTGTGCCTCTTCAGTGTCTTGTATCCACCTTCGCAAAGGTGTGCCTCTTCAGTGTCTTGTATCCACCTTCGCAAAGGTCTGCCTCTTTTTCCTGAACCTGCACCCTGCATTTTCTCCAGGCTGCCATGTTGTCAGCGTTTGGGACAGGATGCTGTTTATGAGCCTATTCTCCTTGATGCTCAGATCATGTAGGATTTCACTGTTTCTTTTGTTTTTGTTTTTTGCTCCATATTATTCTAAGAGTTTTTCTGTAGCATCTCAATTGAACTGCTTAAGTTTCTTTCTTCAGTGATTAAGAGTCCGTGACTAATATCCATAAGTTTCCGCTAGATAAATGGATGACCTCAAAATTTCTACTTTAACCTGCTAGCAGGTGGCGTGCCATTAGGTTTCTTTATGCTATTGAGTCTCTGTACTTACTGTTAAAGGAATCACCATCTGTAGTATATAACTGAATATTTATTTGCTTTTCTTGTCTTGTAGAATAACTGCTGCAGATGCTTCCGTGTAGTATATAACTGAATATTTATTTGCTTTTCTTGTCCTGCAGAATAACTGCTGCAGATGCTTCCGTGGTCAACCTGCAGCTTCAAGAGCTGCAGTCAAGGCAGCTCATCCAGCCAATGGAGAATGGGGGATTTGTTCGGAAAGTGCTAGATGACAAGACAGGTAACTTTCTAGTTTACTATGCTTCTCTGACAGATCATTAAGTTAACTGACTTTTGCTATAGTATATGGTGTATGAGAACTGCCTATGAGCCGCAGAAACATAGTGAGTAGACTTTTTTTCTGCTAACCCGAAGGCCTTAGGTCTGAATCCGCATCAAGTCAGATTTTTTTTCCTTCGAAATTCACTTTGGCTATTAGGTCAGTGGTAAATTAGCCTCAAATGGTTACCTGTTATTACCCTGGAAAGTAAAGTTGGCTGATGTTATGTTCACCACATTATCCACAGAGTGCCGATTGGTCTGCAAAACTATGAGTTTATCATCTTGTGCCTGATTACGTCACAATAAGATCCTTTTTTCCACGCCTTTAAGCATATAGGGCATATAGAGATAGACCTATATTATTTATAGACCAATCGGCACAAGATTGGTGATGTGGTTAGCATCACGCCGGCCGCCTCTACTTCCCGGACCGCACCAGGTACCCACTGAAGGCTGGGTCGACCTGAGAGTCAGAGTCATTTTATTTAAAAAGTCTGGCACTGCCAAGGAGCGAACTCATGACCTTACGATGCGAGCATCTAGCCGCTACACCACAGCAAACCCGATTATGCCACTAAGGTAAATAAAAATAAAAACATATGGTTTTTTGTGTTTTGTTTTATATTTTGCTCACATTTTATCAGCAGAACTGCTCAGAATGGAAAACAATGCCAGCAGATGCTCTGGCTAGCAGTCCTCTATTGATAGGAGACTAAATGCGGTGAGGCTTTCAGTTTTGTGGAAGCAAATTTTTCACTGAATTGACTGCCTACCCTGGTTGTACCAACTGGAGCAGCGAGACTGGAAAAACCATGCGGGAACCACTCACCGTTACATCAGCCAGAACAGAAGTGGAGTTGTTAGCCTAAAAACACTTGGAGACATAATGTGGAGGAGATCGGAGCATTTATGGTCATGTCCGATGTGCGATGAAAATGATCTCAAAAATGAACAGTGAACAACACTCATAATGGTCAGTTCTTCTTCTGGTGAAAATCACAGACTTTATCCCTAAAATCACAGACTTCATCCCTAAAATCACAGACTTTATACCTAAAATCACTGACTTCATCCCTAAAATCACTGACTTCATCCCTAAAATCACATTCATCCCTAAAATCACTGACTTCATCCCTAAAATCACTGACTTCATCCCTAAAATCACAGACTTCATCCCTAAAATCACTGACTTCATCCCTAAAATCACTGACTTCATCCCTAAAATAACTGACTTCATCCCTAAAATAACTGACCTCATTCCTAAAATCACTGACTTCATCCCTAAAACCAGTGACTTCATCCCTAAAACCACTGACTTCATCCCTAAAATCACTGATGTCATCCCTAAAATCACTGACTTCATCCCTAAAATCACTGACTTCATCCCTAAAATCACTGACTTCATCCCTAAAATCACTGACTTCATTCCTAAAACCAATGACTTCATCCCTAAAACACACTGACTTCATCCCTAAAATTACTGACTTCATCACTTGGACCGGGTATCTCAGCATTACAAAGTGTGTCCGTAATGCCTAAGCTACAGAGGCTAACTCTTGCCACCTGTTTGTGTGTCTGTGATGCCTAAGCTACAGACGCTAAATCTTGCCACCTGTTTAGTGTGTCTGTGATGCCTAAGCTACAGAGGTTAACTCTTGCCACCTGTTTGTGTGTCTGTGATGCCTAAGCTACAGACGCTAAATCTTGCCACCTGTTTAGTGTGTCCGTAATGCCTAAGCTACAGATGCTAACTCTTGCCACCTGTTTAGTGTGTCTGTGATGCCTAAGCTACAGATGCTAACTCTTGCCACCTGTTTGTGTGTCTGTGATGCCTAAGCTACAGACGCTAAATCTTGCCACCTGTTTAGTGTGTCCGTAATGCCTAAGCTACAGACGCTAAATCTTGCCACCTGTTTAGTGTGTCCGTAATGCCTAAGCTACAGATGCTAACTCTTGCCACCTGTTTAGTGTGTCTGTGATGCCTAAGCTACAGACGTTAACTCTTGCCACCTGTTTAGTGTGTCTGTGATGCCTAAGCTACAGACACTAACTCTTGCCACCTGTTTAGTGTGTCTGTGATGCCTAAGCTACAGACGCTAACTCTTGCCACCTGTTTAGTGTGTCTGTGATGCCTAAGCTACAGACGCTAACTCTTGCCACCTGTTTAGTGTGTCTGTAATGCCTAAGCTACAGACGTTAACTCTTGCCACCTGTTTAGTGTGTCTGTGATGCCTAAGCTACAGACGCTAACTCTTGCCACCTGTTTAGTGTGTCTGTGATGCCTAAGCTACAGAGGCTAACTCTTGCCATCTGTTTAGTGTGGCGTAGAAGGTGACTAATTAAGAATTTACTTAAATCGGATTATTGGGCCAAACGGCGCAGATTTTGCAGCCTGGCTGTAAACTTTAACACAACGCATGCCAGCCGCCTTTTTAAGGGTGTTTGCCGCAGAAAGAAAAACAACACAAACTTGGTTTACGGATCACATAATATCTTGTTTAATTGTTCCTCATGTGCTGTTCATTCATTCATTCATTCATTATCCTCTTGTGCCATTTTATGTCACATAGGGCTTCACAGTCTGCTGCTTCATCATTTCTTTCTATCCTGTGCAATCAATTGAAATATCATGGATGGAATCCAGTCCAGCAGCGTTGGCCTCTTTCATCAACGTTGTCTTAGGGTTTCTCTTGGGCATCCACGCCACCTTAATGCCTTTATTTCCCATTGTAATGCCTGTTTGGTGATTCTCTGCTGGTTTCTTCTCAGGATGTGTCCATTGTGGCGCCATCTTCTCTGTCATGTAACTGTTGATACTAAATGCTGTTCATACATTTCTCTTATTTCTTTACTCCTCATATATTTGTTTTCAGATGCATTTAACTTTCGTTCCTTGTCTTTGGTGTTTCTCCAATTTTCACTTGCAGATGTTAAATTTGAAACAACATTAGAATTGGCTTTAAAACTATACAATTTAGAGCTCCCTATTTTGTTCATACAGTTAAACAGTCAGTTACTGGTACCATCGGAATTTTAACTCTACCCTTGCTGCTGAAGAAGAGGATGGAGCGTTTATGGTGGTGTCCCGAGTGCTGTGATGTCGATTTCTAATTCAATATTTAACATTTTGTTCAAGCTATTAACAACCGAAAAGATCTCGTGGAAGACCAAGGGAAACCCTACGTAGAACTATCATCAGGGAAGGCTCGCTCATGGGCCACTCAAACATCCAAGACCTACAACGGATTGCAACGGACCGCCGTGCATGGAGAGTCGCGACCTCTGCCCTATGTGCCGCACTCGACACAAGAGGAAAGACTAACTAACTAACTAACTAACTATTAACAACTGCTAAATGATATCCAGTTAGCATATTTAATAAAAATTAAATGAAATCTAACTGGTGTCATAGATACACTGTATAATGTCTGGTAAATTCTCAGAGGTTCAGATGGTGAAGAACATGCCAATGATTGCCAGCAACTTGCAGCCAACAATTGCTATCATCACCTACCAGTACTGTGAAAAAATGGCAGTGGATGCAATGATGGAGGATAAGACTACCTATGTCCGATATAAGACTGAAGGTAGGTAACTTCTTCTCCTCCTCAAAACCTTGAGGTTCATTGTTGCAGATATCACCACCTCCGCTCATTTCTTTGATTGGCTATCTCGGTTGTCTTATATTTCTTTTATTCACTATGTTTGGATACTTTAGTAAGACACAGTTTGTGACTGAATACTTTAGTAAGATACAGGTTATGTGTATGTAATTTAATAAAACACAAGTTATATTTTAATAGTTTAAAAAGATAAAGTTATGTTTGATTTGTTCAGTAATGCACAGGTTATATCTGATATGTTTACATTAAGTTAAATTCTAGAAGATCAGATATGGCTCGGTCTTGTCAGCTGATTAATGAGAGCATTGCACAAGGCACACACTTAGCTCTACTGACAGTCCCCAGAGTTATATGTAAAGACTGCACCCATGAACTGAAAGGTGTGTCCAGGAAATAAATCCATGGCCTATAGGTCACAAGGCAGGTGGCGTGACCATGGAGACTCTTATTGGTTTAAGATACTGCTTATGCTTGATTTGGTTATGGAAAGATATAAAACCAACAAAAAGTATATCAGCGAGCTTCACAATATAATGAACACAAGCGAAATTTGAACGCTGCGGCTATGGAGCCTTTATCAGCACATACATGAATCAAACAAAACTTCACAAATGCACAAAATCAATTAACTGACACATCCTGAAGCAGCCACGTTGATGTATTACCAGTGGAATGTTCACCAGATTTGTTTATGAAGACTCCAGTGACAAACCATGTACTGTATTCTCTAAGGGGAGTCCAATGTGTACACAACTGGCTACATTGGGGAACACAAGGTAGTGACTACCAAACTGCCGGCTGTTGGGCACTTTAGAGCAGCACAGATCTCCTCCGGCAACACAACAACAAGGTTGCTAGGTAAGTGTTGTTGTGTCTTTGTTAACTCGTTGGACAAGTGTTTATGTTGTAACACACAGCACATATGTCTTCAGGTTGCTAGGTAAGTGTTGTTGTGTCTTTGTTATTCTGTTTGACAATTGTTGTATGTTATAGTGCAGCACAGTTGTCTTTAGGCAAGATAACAACTAGGTTGTTAGATAAAAGTTATTATGCTGTTGGACAAGTGTTTTATCTTGTAATGATCAAAATAAGGTGACTGCTGTAAAGCTCTGTCTAGAAAAGATTGTAAAAACATAACATGTCTGTCAGATTTATAGTTTAATTAAGTTACAATAGACAAACTTTACAACATTTAGAGCGGTCCAGGTAAATATTGCATACTTTATTTAAGATACTTTATTGAATCCTGTCACTTATTATTATTATTTTGTTTCGTTTGTTTTCATAATATTTTAATGCACTCATTTCACAGTCAGTGGTGTGTTTTGTTTCTCGCCATTGTTCTGCTGATAAAGGCGAAATTGATGCAGCATATTTTTATGTCTACTGTAACTAGACCTGTAAAGCTGACATATAATTATGTTTTTTCCAATCTTTTCTATTTTATAATGGTGCCTAGCTGATGTTGGATATAATTTTTGTGTTTGCTTTGAGTAAGTACTAAATCTCAATTTTTTGGGAGCAATTTACACATCCAACGGAAAATTAGACAGAGAAATTAGCTTGAGATGTGCCAAAACTAATCAAGAAATGGAGCAACTATCTCCCCTGTTGACACACGAGCAGATACCCCGGAGTACTAAAGTGAATCTTATCCGAACTATTTTTTGGCCAACACAATGCTATCAGTGCAGACTGTCCCATATTCGAGGCTTTCAGGCAAAACATTTGGCCAAAAGAGACACTTGTGGAAGTCAAACTTTACGGGCCGCTTAGTGAATTACAAAATACAGTGAAATTCATACAAGAGACGGCTTTGCAGATATAGACAATTTATTTCATGCGAACGAAAGAAGAAGAAGAAGAAGAAGCTATCAGTGCCAAACATGGACACTTACATCCTCCAATGAACGTAAAATTGTGACAACAGAGCTGAAATGTCTTAGAAGAGCTGCAGGAGTTTTAAGGAAAGACAGAATACGAAATCAGACATATGCTAGGAATAAAGCCAGTCTTACAAGTCATCAAAGAACAACAAATGAAGTGGTTTGGACACGTAACGAGAATGCCCTGGTACTATCTGCCACAGAGAGCCACACTCTAAACATTAAAGCGGGTAATAGAACGAGTGGATGGCATTAAGAACAGCCTTACTGAATTGAACATCAGTTTTAATAGTGCTCTTGACAGAGCTCATCAACGCACATTATATCTCTCCCCAACACTTCGCTGAGGTGCAAGGTGGAAGAGAAGAAGAAGAAGAAGACTAAGTCTCAGTTTTGTTGGTCAAATGTTTCAACTTGTTTGCTATTAGCTGTTCGAAGCATGTCCACCTTCACATTAAACGGGTCCCCTCATTATTGCACAGTTGTTATGTCAGTGACAACCACATGGGATGCCTCTCGCTGTCACTGTCTCTTATGAAAAAAAAAAGTAAAAAAAGTAGAGATCCCCTTTAACGCCTTTGGCGCACCAGGCATATGGGAAGAGCACCCATATTGTTACAGACCAGTCGGCACAAGGTGGGTAATGTGGTCAGCATTACGCCGGCCGTCTTTACTTCCCCAGGACATACATAAAATTTTAGGCTAGGTCGACCTGCGACGCCCCATACCATGATACAAATCCACGTAGCCAGCAGTGAGTTTCGATCGCGGTACGTTGGAATTACTAGTCGCAACGCCTAAGCCACGGACGCCGCCATGCAAAAAAAAAAAAAAAAAATACTTTCAATCATTTCCGACAGAGGTGATCTTCAATGCTACAATACCAAACTGTTCAACATCTTCCCTCTTATTCTCCTTCTGGTTCTTTTTCCTTCTAACTTTTCCACCGTCACAATGTCCTCCATTGTCTCCTTCTTATCATGTGACAAAGAATGTAGATTTTTCTCCTGATGTGGGTCACCAGTTTTCTGCATGAGTTAATTTCTTTCCATGCGCCTCCGGAAGACGCTCAGCAAACTTCAGAGCAGAGCAGAAAGCAATTATTGATGCAGCCAAAGTGCTTGAGGAAAGACAAATTAAAAACAGCAAAATTATTTACGTTTTGTGACTGCTTGTCAGTCATCCAGGGGACTCAGATGTAACCACAAGACAACAGGGAGAGAGGACTGATCTACCAGCTAAACAGATTTTCAGGAAACAATAAAATCATTCTCTAGGGGATGCTGGCTCATTGCGGCATACCAGAAAATGAGTTAGCAGACATACTTGCACAAAATGGAGCAAAGGAGAAACAGCACATTCATTCATCGTCATTACCAGAAATCAAAACACTCATCAAGGGAAAGGAATTGTGGAGAGAACAAACCAACAGTAAACATTCACAAGACCGCATCAGCAGACTCAACAGAAAGCAACATATAACAATTTTCCGTCTATGATCAGGACACTGTAGGCTCAACTACCACGTATAAAATAAGGATTGTACAGTCCCCACAGTGTGCATATCACGCAGGACCACAAACACTTAATACATTCTGCAGACCAGTCCACTTTACCTACAATCTCGAAAAGACACCTGGCCTCAAGAGCAAAGTGTGCAGAGCAAGCTATGGGGAACCATGCAAGTTCATAGAGGCAACCCACCTGATTGTCTGACCTGAGCGTACGAAACCGAAGGCAAAGAAGAAGAAGAAGTTTATTCACTTCTATAGGGCCTTGACAACAGTGAGCTTATTTATCTACAAAACCACATCTCTGTCTCTTCCACATAATTGTTCACTCATCGGCTAAACTCATATATTATAACCATTTAATGATTTTTTACAGGAACATTCCAGAACATTGAGCATGTGTTCCTGGTGGGTTGCGCAGGCAGCGTGCCACACTTCACGGATTACTACAAACATGGCCGTCTCGGAGACGTAGTCATCTCTTCTGCGAATGAGAAAGGTCACATTTATTACTTCTGTGATAAAATCATACAGGAGAAGAACGGAGAGGTGAGTGAGGTTGAACATGTTCTGGGAGGTGTGGATAAAATCAGTCACACACTAGAAATCTAATGGGTTAGTTAGTTAGTTTTGCACCATGCAATGAATCCTGGGCCAACACTATGCTATCAGTGTCAAACATGGACACTTACATCCTCCAGTAAACATAAAATGGTGACAACAGAGATGAAATGCCTTAGAATAGCTAAATTAATTAAATAAAAGACAGTGTATTGATCGGCACTCATAGAATGAGAAAGATAGAAGAACACACTAGACAACATAAAAATCAAAACTATAGTTGTTGTGCCAGGAATTGAACCTGTTACCTCCAGATGGTGTATGCACCTCGTCATGAATACGAGTGCACTAAGAACTTGGTCAACTAGGCACCCCCCAAAAAAGGTGTCTTATTGGCCCTGTCTATCATACAGCTTGAAATCCACAACTATGGTATACCGACAGAATTCATTTCAAAGCATTGAAATGGCAACATAGGTTACAGAAATTTATATTAATGAAGCATATGTCGAATAACAATCACAGCAACAATTTACGAACACAGTAGACCTTAATGTTTTGTCTAGAATACACACATATTTAAGAAAGGTATTTGATTGGTAGGTTTCGGTGTGTAAACGTCATTTCTATAAATAAATAGATGGGGAACCTTTCAGGCCGTTAAATAGTATGAATTAATTAAATAACAGAAAGTGTATTGATCAGCACTCATAGAAAGAAGTAGAAAGATTATTTATAGAAAAGCTGAAGGAGTTTCAAGGAAAGACAGATCAGGAAACCAGACAAATGCTAGGAATAATGCCAGTATTACATGTCATCAAAGAACAACAAATGAAGTGGTTTGGACACCTACAACGTTACAACGGGTATAGAGCGATTGGAAGACCTCGGAAAATATAAAGTGATGACATTAAGAACAGCCTGACATAAATGAAAATAAAAGTGCTCTTGACAGAGCTCATCAACGAATGTTACCTCTCTCTCCCCCCCCCCCCCCCCCCCCCCCCCCCCCCCGAGACTTCGATAAGTTACAAGAGGGAAGGGAAGAAGAAGAATGAATGAATCTTGGTACTGCATAGACTTGAAACCCTCTGTTTACATGAGAACACATGAAGAAGTAAGTTTACAGATAATGAGGACTTTTGCTTTCAAGGTGGCGCAAGCAGCTGTTAGTTTTTAGATGGCTGTGATTCGGCTCTGGTTGTTCTGTCCCCTTGTCACCGAATAATAATTGTGTGCACGCTTTCAACTCAAGACTTTGTATTTTTCATGGGGTTTGCATGTAGTGTGGTTGTGCTGTGTCAAAGTGGTGATGATGACCGTTAGAGATTGTTGAAACTGCGACATGCTCATAGTGTTTTGTTCGTGGTGGTCCACAGAACTCTCATCAACTGTCTAGAGAGCAGACTTGAAAAAAGGTGTCTCCCGAAATGGAATTGATCAGATCCCTTTTTTATTTTTGGGTGTGTCAGGAATTGACACATACAATGGTTCTTTCATGATATCCTACCCCAGATGACGTCACAGGACAGGGTGGTAAGACTGGGTTTCCCAGCTTTCGGATGCTTTTAACGACCCAAAAACATCTAGAACTGGCCCCAACCCTAACCCAGCCTAGCTCCCATGACTGCATGCAGCCTCTCTACCACCCCCTGTAATATTAGACTGTCCTATGACTTGTGGATTTCCCCCATTTTCTGGGGTAGGATGGTAATAAAGCACTCATACAGTTAACTCAGTGGCCATAGCAACATACTGGTAATGCAGCACACACAGGAATAAATTAACGAGATCAATTATGTCCCTCTGTCCTATACCTGTGATGCTCAGTCAGTAGCAAACTATCACAAGATCGAGAATTCAACATTAGGATAGGTAAGATGGCAATAGCAATAAGCAGATTAATGAAAAGAGTTTGAGAGAGCTTAATGCTCATAATTAACCCTTTTAGCACGGGATGTTTTTCAGAGGTCTAGCCAAAAACACGGAGCATTTTTTCAGTGAATTTGGTTATTACTTTATTTAATTTTTTTGACAGATTTCTGTTATTCTGACCCCCATGAAATAATATATCTATTTGAAGGATATAGATTGAAGTTCGTGATTTTCACAATATCGTTAAAATTAATTGATGTATATGCAAATTATCTCATTTGCATTTCTAAAAATAGAAAAAATGAATTTGAATTTTCAACTTCAATGCTTGAAACATAAAACTAAAAACAAAATTTTTTTTTATTTGAAATCTTTTTATTGATCTTTGGCCTTTTTACAAATGTTGTAAGCAATCCAATAGTCAAAAACAGGTATATATGTGAAACAGCAAAAATATCTTTAGGTGAAATGTGTTTTTCACCATCAGTCAGCACTAGAAATGGATGTGCCAGAGTGTCAACACCTTTGGGTGGATATACCCTGAGCCATGGTTGGGCTGTGGTCTGAACACAACAGCGTCCCCATCTGATTCCCACTATTTCTACTAACACTAAATCCTGCATCAGTATCAACAGAATTAGTGTCATCACTTGATTCAAATGTTTTATCAACATCAAGTTTAGGGGCAGAAACATACGAGTCAGACATACTTTTAGCCGTTCAGGTCACTATCTAAAAAATTCAACAACAATTTTCACTTCGATACCAAAAACTCGAAAGTCGCCATGTGTAAAGCTGATACAGCAGTTAATATAAAGGAATCACTTTCAGTGTTTCAAAGTAGGAGATTTCTTAGCGGTTCGAGGCGAAGCACGATCGGGCTGATGATCGGCCGTTCCGTGTTTTTGGCCAGACATCCGCCGGCCGATAATCGGCCCGTCCGTGCTAAGAGGGTTAAAACAAAAACCTCCCTGTGTGGGTTCCAGGGCCCTATCATTTGAGGAAAAAATAGACGCACTGCCTCCCCAACAGGCATGTCGCAAGAATCGACATATTGGAGCCTTCATTCAAAGTCGGAGAGCTTCTGTCTGAGAGGCAAGGAACCAACAGTCTACAAACAAATAAGTCAGATTGGTAAAACGGATGTGCACGAAAGACTCAGGTTCTGGAACAAAGCTAAAGTCCAGGGGTGGACTTACAAACAGAACTTTTTGCCGAAGTTTACGCAGCAAAAATCAAATGGTTTGCTCACTTGGAGAGAATGCCTTCTGATGCTATACTTTTCAAGGCATACACTAAAAGAGGAGAGGGACGTAGAGCAAGAGGTAGACCAAGAACAAGATGGAAGGAGAAACTCTACAGTACCATGATGTGTCTTCGGTTGAAGGAGCCAGAAAAGCACGAAGTATACTGTATATATCCCTTGACACCTGAAGCGGTAAAAGAGGAAGATGAAGAAGAACTCAGAGAAGATGGAGAAGGAAACAAAACCCCTTGTTAATCAAGAATGTGATTTCAGCACTTTTCTTGACGGTAGTAAAACTTGGTTGATTTATTCATAACAAGAAAAGCTAAATAGTGTTCATGTACGATGCTCATAAATTATTTAGCAGGTAATAAGTTAAAGTACCTTTACGTACCAGCAGCACATCAAACGTATGAGGCTAGATTCGTACTTATAGACACGTCAGCCATTGACGGGTGATGTATTAGCTAGTTAATCTGTCTTTCTTCTTGAACTTAGGGCGGAGCATAGGGCAAAGGCTTTTCATGTCTAGTGGTTCGTTGCCATCTGTTTTAGGTTTTGCATGTTCATTGTTGGTTCTTGCAAGGTCTTTCTTGGTCTTTCCCGTTTACACACAATACATGGCATTAAATGGCCAGACTATGTCGCAGACACTGAAACAGTTGAAAGTTACAGTTAACTGTTTGAGTCCCAGGGGGTTTAGCATCAGAGGCCCAAGGGGTAATCAAAAGAGACGTAAAATATGCGCATCTTGTGTTCATTGGGCTTCTATTTAGGAACGTATGATACGTTCCTTGAGACTCAAAGAGTTAAGGAGCACCCATTGCATCAGTTTTGTCAGTGCTCAGTCTTTGAAGGCCCAAGTGACCAGGACACACATGGAGGATGGTAGAGTCCCTAAGGAAATTCTCTTTAAAGTAACGGACGCTTTTCCCGCCTTTAGGCGTATTGGGCATATAGTAAAGGTCCCTTTTCCACGCCTTTAGGCGCATAGAGCATATAGGGCTAGACATTTTTTTTTTTTCAGCATCACGCGGGCTACCTCTACTTCCCGGGAATCCTCCCGGTACCCATTCAAGGCTGGGTCATTTTTGAAAAACGTCTGGCTCTGCCAGGGAGAAAACCCACGATCTTCCCGTCCGCACGTGAGCGTCTAGCCGCTACACCACGGTTACTCTCCAGATTCTCTGTGGTGAATTATAAATTGGTAGAACATTTTGAGGTCTGGAGGTCTGCCTCTGCTGAATATGAAGATATATGCTGGACATGAATGATACAGGTATTGAGGTAGATTCATGAGAACAGGATGCCATGGACTGTGTTGCATAGAGGAGGAAAATCAGGAAAGGATTAGGGATGCGTGGAGAAAAGGAGTGCAGATCGTTCAAGAGCCGAGTGTCTGAGAATAAGCTCAGTTAAATACATACAATGGCCTGGAAATCCCATGCTGTAATTGCGGAAGATTTTTTGTGTGCTTTCTATGTGTGTGAGTTTTGCTGTCGCCGCCACTCGCTGTCGGTACTGTCTGTGGTTTCCATGCCTTCTTGTAGCACAATATAACCTTTGGTCTGGAAAAATGGAAAGAGGCAACGACTATACCTATTATGTATATTGTGTTTTGGTGCATGCATCCGTCACTCTATCTCGCTCTCTGTCTCTGTTTCTCTCTCTCTCTCTCTCTCTCTCTCTCTCTCTCTCTCTCTGTCTGTCTGTCTGTCTGTCTGTCTGTCTGTCTGTCTGTCTGTCTCTCTGTCTGTCTCTCTGTCTCTCTCTCTCTGCTATGCAATGTCTGTCATGTTTTAGAAGAATCTTAACCTACTCTGTTTTGTTATACAGGTTATTCAGAATGACGGATACACTTTCATTCATATATATTTCTTTGAAAGTACATTACATATTAATAATATACATGCAAGAGAGAGACGAAGATTTAGAGTTTACATACTTACAATTGAGGTTATTGATGTTTAGCATGGCTGCTGTCTGCTGCTCTGCAAACATCTAAGCGGTAACCAAATGGTGGCCATCTTACTCCGAACCAAACTAAAGCGCCCTTGGTGGTACAAGTATTCACACTTGAATGGCTGGTTATGCAAATGCGCTGTAGCGGTAGTATTCAAAACTTTAGACCTATCCCTCTCTCTTATATGTATATTATTCATATTCAATGTTTATTCAAGGAGTTGAGTTGAGTTAAGTCAAAAATTTACATCACAGCACTCGGGGCATTCCCATGTGTGCTCCGTCCTCATCTTCAGCAGCCAGCGCACAGTTCCAGTACTGATGGTACTGGACACAATCTGGTTATATGTCTGTCTTACCTTTCCTCTGAGTGTAGTGAGCTGGCCAGACCCTCTGGTTACACCCAGGTGCCTCAATCTCTCCAGGCCATAGTAATCTTGTTTTTTCAAGCAAATGTACATCAATCAATGAAAGGATATCCCTAAATTTGAATAATCATCTATTACCACACGTCTACTTTGGCACTGCGAACATGCTTTGTAATGCCGGGTGCCAGGTTCAATCCCAGCTGCTGACGATGTCTAGCATTGGTTTCGACAGTGGTACCGAGAGTGCCCGTTCAGAAAACAGTGTCAAACTACTGGACATAAAATTTGCCTAGAAAAAACCCTATGGCCAAAAAATGCTGGGGTTGGTTTTGCAGCATTCTGTAAAAAATGTGCAACTAACTTCACCACACACCTTGCTGCAGCTAGTGTCTTACCTATTGACTTTCATCCTCAGACCACTTACAATGTGAGAGCTTGGTCTCCCAAAGACCTGACCCTGCAGAGGCTTGTGGATGGACTTCAGCAGACGCTTCAGAAAGATCCAAACTATGCACCATGGGAACAGTTCATTGCTGAAGGACAGGTTCTGCTGCAAGCCCAGGAGCAGGACTACAACCGTCCACTGAGGAGCACAGATCGCCTGTACATGGGTATAGGAGAAGGGCAGGTGTGTGAACTCTTCTTTTCTTCTTCCCCCCTCTCATTTCTCTCCTCTTCTTCTTCTTATTCTTCTGCTTTCTCCTCATCCTTCTCCTCCTCCTCTCTCCTCCATCTTCATCTTTTCGGCATTTGAACCTTCCCTAAATACATCACAGTACGTCTGTGACATCCCCTGGTGTGTGTATATTTATATATATATATATATTGTTTGAATCTCCGCCAGGTGATTGAAGTACAACACCCACAGTGCCCTGATGGAGATGAAGAAAAGAAGGAGGCACCTGTCGTCAGATTTGGTGTAATTGGAGCGGGGCGACCGGTCAAGCAGGAGATGTCAAGACATGATTTTGCTTCTCGTTATGGCATTCAGGCCTTCGACACAGAGTTTGATCAGGTTAGAGAACAAGCATCTTGTTCATATTGGTCTTGTCTGTTTTCTTCTTTCCAGCATCTGCGTCTTAAGGTTTATGAAATCTGTTTCACAATTCCTAATACTAAAGTTTATAGTTAGCCGCAGGTGATGTTGCAGCAGCTGACGTTGTGCTGATTTCATTATGAGCATCCAACTGCTAAATGGAATATTGCCTAGTACAGTAAAAACTCAGTTATCCAGCTCATGATTATCCGGACTCCGTATAACTCTGGCTCATGATTATCCAGACTCCATACTATTTTGGCCTATATTTTAAACACATCCCAGTAATGAAATAATAAATAATTAACCTGGCCAAGTCATTGCAGTCGTGCGCCAAATGATTTGTTTTTGCCAGCAGTTAGACAAAATAAAATATATCTTAAAATGCGAGCAAAGGGGGGGGGGGGGGGGGGGGTTGTCGTTTTTTTTCTGTGTAATAAATGTTTAAAGCATATAATATATTACACAAGAAACTGTGAATACGAGTGGTTTTTTGTATTAAAAGGATGTTGTCAGTGATATGGGCGGGTTAGAAACTGAACATCTATAGAACTATTGCATATCCATTTTTTGGGTTATCCGGTCCACCCTTCTGCCACATTAGGTCGGATATTGCAGAGTCTACTGTATATCCACATACATTCGACATTTAACATTTGTGGATGTATAACGTAAAACATATAATATGCTAATCAACACCATAAAGACAGAAGTAATTTCAGTAGAAAGAAAGAAAGCAAAATCTAAATGCAAATGCACTGTAGAGGCATCTGAGGTTAAAGGTTAAATATCTGGGAACAATGTAAAAGACGAAGTAAAACAAACCAGTTATTGCGGCAGCGAGGCCTCTTTTGCAACACAAGACAGTCCCGATCAGCACAAAGAAATGTCTCATTCAAAGCATATCCATTCACACTCTATGCCATCACCAGTGCAAGACGTGGTCACTCACTTCAAATCAGAAAAGAAAATTAGCAACCGTGGAAATGAGATATATGAGAAGGGCTGCGGGAGTCACCAGAAGAGATCACATCAGTAATTAGTTTTTAAGAGAAGCTTCTTCTTCTTCTTTGTGTTTGGTTTTGTAAGCTCAGATCAGACCATCAGGTGGGTTGCCTCTATGGACTCGCATGTCAGTAGCAGGTCCTTCATGGTTCCCCATCAGGTGGGTTGCCACTATGAACTCGCATGTCAGTAGCAGGTCCTTCATGGTTCCCCATCACGTGGGTTGCCTCTATGGACTCGCATGTCAGTAGCAGGTCCTTCATGGTTCCCCATCAGGTGGGTTGCCTCTATGGACTCGCATGTCAGTAGCAGGTCCTTCATGGTTCCCCATCAGGTGGGTTGCCTCTATGGACTCGCATGTCAGTAGCAGGTCCTTCATGGTTCCCCATCAGGTGGGTTGCCTCTATGGACTCGCATGTCAGTAGCAGGTCCTTCATGGTTCCCCATCAGGTGGGTTGCCTCTATGGACTCGCATGTCAGTAGCAGGTCCTTTATGGTTCCCCATAGCTTGCTCTGCACACTTTGCTCTTGAGGCCAGGTGTCTTAAGAGAGACAAAAAAATCAGCACAGAAACAATTCTAAATTACATACAGAGACAGAAATCAAATGGTTTGTCCACTTAGAGAGAATGCCTTGTGAAGCCATACCACACCACACATACATCAGAAGAGAAGGACGTTGAGCACAAAGTAGTCCAAGAAAAATGTGGAAAGATAACATTAGAGAAACACCACAAGAGCACAATGTTTCAATGGTCGAGGCAGATAGAAGAGCTAGAAGCAGAATCTGATATCTCCCTTGACACCCAAAGTGTTAAAGAGGACGTGAAGAAGAAGATATCCACCTACAGCCAGCAAATGCTGAGGTTGCTTTATGAGTTGTGTAAAGTATATTCAACATATTAAAGCTTATCCACTGGATATTTATCTCTTACCTACACACCATTTATAGGAGCCGCCATGGTGCAGTGGCTAGACTCTTCCCTTGTGGATCAAAAGGTCATGGGGTGAAGTCCTGATGGAGCCAGACTTGTTTATTTAAGAAATGACCATAACTCCCAGGTTGACCCCCTCACAAATTCCACCGTTTCCACATCAGCTTCACACAGCATGTTTTCCACACAATTTTTTCCACACAGATTCCATCTTTTCTATAACTGTAACCTTATTCACACAGCTTCCATTTTGTTGGCATAATTTCTATCTTGCTTTCCACCTTTTCCACGTAACTTCAACCCTATTCACACAGCTTTCATTTAGCCCACACAGCTTCTTTTTTTTTCCGACACATCTTCTGTCTTATCACTTATGTTCTTTTTTCTGCCCTGTATTTATCTGACAATGGAGCATGGGTGTACTCAACCATCGCAAGCCAGAGCTCTTCTGTACAGTCTGTCTCTTTAAGTTAATTCCAAATCTTTTCCATTTTATTCACATTTGCTTTTTTTCTTCAAAATTAGATTTTTAATTATGATTCCTAATATTGCCTTTGGTAAATTTAAGACTTTTTGCTTGCTAAGTTGGTTAAACCAGCCACGCAGTGACTGTTTAACAAAAGTCTTGTGGTCTGAGATCACGCTCAGAGCTAGGCAGAACAGCCACATATTTTCCAGATTTACAGTATCTGTCATTGAATCAAGGTCGAAGGGTCGCGACATCCATAGTACAGACCCAAGGGGTTTACAGTAAAACCCATGGTTTCTGGATTTTAAAAAAATATATAATTTTTTTGGAAATAAAATTTTTTTACCTTGCTTTGTGAGCATCATTTGGCTAAATGTTTAAGTATGCAGGGCTGTCATGCAGGAAAGCCTGGTTCGAATCCTCAAAAAGGTTGGGAATGTTTTTTGTTTGGTCAAGGCCAAGAATAAAATCCTAACCCTAGACAGTCTGTGGTGACAGCACCGGCCATGCAGCCCTCAAATCCCCAGGCCCGAAGAACCTGTCAGATCCAGTAATAAAACCCTAACCTACGCAGTCTGTGGTGACAGCACCGGCCATGCAGCCCTCAAATCCCCAGGCCCGAAGAACCTGTCAGATCCAGTAATAAAACCCTAACCTTCGCAGTCTGTGGTGACAGCACTGGCCATGCAGCCCTCAAATCCCCAGGCCCGAAGAACCTGTCAGATCCAGTAATGGAAAACCCTAACCTACGCAGTCTACATTGATGGAATGGCAGCCGTATGCAGCCCTGGCAGACCGTGATGAGAACGATGTTCTGCAAAGGACCTGCTACATGATGATGAGTTTCTAGCTCACCACAACCTGAGTTATCTGACTTAAGACTTTCCTTGTCACTGGCATCTGTGTAGTGATGTGTAGTTTCTAGCTCACCACAACCTGAGTGATCTGACTTAAGACTTTCCTTGTCACTGGCATCTGTGTAGTGATGTGTAGTTTCTAGTTTCCCCCAGCCCAAGTTTTACTTTAGACTTTCTTTGCCACAGACAACAGTGTAGTCACTGGTAGTGTTGTCAACACCTGAGTTTTGCTAATTCAGGCCTTTTTTTTTTAAAGTTACATTAGTTGTCATCAAGATAGTCACAGTCTCCTGACAGCTTGCGGTTTACTAATTTAGAGACTTTAAAAAAAAAAGATTTCTGGGTTCAGTTTAGCCATACAGGTAGACAAAGGTTTACTATTTAAAAGATTTCTGGGGTCAGTTTAGCCATCCAGGTCGACAAAGGTATGCTAATTAAAAGATTTCTGGGTTCAGTTTAGCCATACAGGTAGACAAAGGTTTACTATTTAAAAGATTTCTGGGTTTAGTTTAGCCATACAGGTAGACAAAGGTTTACTATTTAAAAGATTTCTGGGGTCAGTTTAGCCAGCCAGGTAGCCAAAGGTTTACTAATTAAAAGATTTCTGAGGTCAGTTTAGCCATACAGGTAGACAAAGGTTTGCTAATTAAAAGATTTCTGGAGTCAGTTTAGCCATACAGGTAGACAAAGTTTAAATTTTGTTTTTATCATCTGCAGAGGCATAATTGCCCCAGAAACTTCTTCAGCGTTCTTAGCCCTTGAGGTTTATTGCTACAGATATCAGCCATCTCCATTCATCTCTCTGGTTGACCTCCTCTTTCCATTTGGTGACACCAAGTGTTTGCAGGTCTGCCTGGACATTATCTCTCCATCGTCTTCTTGGTCTGCCTCATGGTCTACGACCATAGGCCATTTCAGTCTATTAGCTCTCATGATGCCAGTGATCATTGGTGATTTAAACAGATTATGAATTTTGTTGTTGCTTTGTTCTTGCCCCACAAACTGAATTTTTCTAATAAAGATCTTTTTTTGTCCATTACCCTAGTCATCTAGATAGGGATAATTTCCATATGATATGTTGTGGTTATCAGCAAGGCTACGTTATCTGCATCATTTGGCCCAGCCCATCCAATTTCAGCAAACTCTTTAATATTTGTTACAGAAGAATATATCTGTGGTAGAAACACACCTGGCCATCAGTGATTTATCATACATCCTCGACTTTGACGTGACATGAAAGGGATAAAAGATATGCTCATTTTTTTTTCTGTTGAAGGAATATGTTATGGGTGTAGCTAGAATCATATATACAACATTTTACAACGTTCTCCCATTGTACTCTGGGTTATGGATTCATGGGAAAATTATGTTCTTGCCCATTGTAACCTGGTTCTTAAATCATTTGATCTCTTGTATTCATGAAAACATTATCTAGAGCTTCGCAAGAAATGTAGTGCTTCTGGTTTGATTTGTCAAATAGATACGCTTGTGAGAGTTGTGTGTGGTAAGTGTAAACTGATTGCATGTAGGTTTTTAGGTTTATGTTGTATAGTTAGAAGATAAGTTGTGTGTTTGTTCTCATATAGGCTGTATGTTGTGTGGTTAGAGGATATGTTGTATTAGGAGATAATTTGTATGTATTTGTTCTCACATAGCCTGTATGTTGTGTGGTTAGAGAATATGTTGTATTAGGAGATAATTTGTATGTGTGTGT